TCGATGAAAACAGAAATATAAATTTTATCATCAAAATCATCATGACCAATCACATTAAACATAAGGCTTCTTTTAAACAAGCGATTTGATTTATCATGTTGATTCCAATGATACTATATTTTTCTTTTTATGTGTTTCATTTTATGATTTCACATAAGTATGCTCAAGTTTTTTTCGTATAAAAACCATCTATCATATTTAAAACCAAAAAGCAATACAAAATCATCAAGATACACATAATTGTTTCTTATAACATACAAGGAATTAATCTTATTTGATGTATAAGTATTATTACAAAACGTGCAATTGTCATGATCAATATATATATATATATATATATATTGATCATGACAAGCACTAAGTAATTTCATGGTAAGGAAAAAGATATTCGATTGAGTCACTTACCTTATTGATGAAAGTCGTCAAAGCGCAGTTCGCCACCTTGCCCTTGTTGGTTTTCTCCTCGTCTTCGGATGAGCTAGATTCATCCTTTGGTAACTTCTTTAGTTTTATGTACTTATCTTTGGAGTGACCCGGCTTCTTATGTTCATAGCAAGTAGTTGTATTCTTTTTACGTTTGTTTTTATTTTTTGATTCTTGTTTTAAGAACTTTTTAAGTTTCATTATGAGAAGTTCAAGTTCATCAGAGCTTTCGCTCTAGTGGTCTTCTTTTGTTCTAAGTGCAAAATCTTTTATGTTCTTTGGAAGATTGTTCTCAAGTTCGTCATGTACCACATAAGTCATTTCATAGGTCATCAATGACCCAATAAGTTCTTCAATTGGAAAATAGTTCAAATCCTTGGCTTCTTGAATTGCCGTTACTTTAGGGTCCCAACTATTTGGAAGGGATCTCAATATTTTATTAACAAGTTCAAAATTCGAAAAACATTTGCCAAGAGCTTTTAAGCCATTGACGATATCCGTAAAATGGGTATATATGTCAACAATGGTTTCACTTGTCTTCATTCGAAATAGTTCAAAATCATACATTAAAAGATTAAATTTTGAGCCTTTAACTCTACTAATGCCTTCGTATGTGATTTCGAGTGTGTGCCAAATGTCAAAAGCCGTTTCGCAAGTAGAAACCCGATTGAATTCATTTTTGTCTAAGGCGCAAAATAGAGCATTTATAGCTCTAGCATTTAAAGAAAAAATCTTTTTCTCCAACTTATTCTAATCGTTCATTGGAAGAGAAGACTTTTGAAAACTAAATTCGACTATATTCCATAAATCGAGATTCAACGAAAGCAAGAAAACTCTCATTCGAGTTTTCTAATATGTGTAGTCCGTCTCATTGAACACGGGAGGAGGAATGATAGAAAAGCCCTCTTGAAAGTCGAAAAGAGTTATTTCTCATGGGTGTTAAACCAAATGAGAAATAACATGGCTCTGATATCAACTGTTAGGAATGAGTCGGCACTAAGATAGGGGGGTGAATTAGTGTAGCGGATAAGAACGTCGGTTCAAAAAATTCTTTCGTTCGATTAAAATCGATTTTGGAAAAAATGTTAACTTGAAACACGTTCGTAAGAGTGTGTAGCAAAAGTAACTAGAAGGTAAAGTAGTTTGCAGTAAAGGTAAATTGCTCAAAACAAAATGCAAATTAGTTTATAGTGGTTCGATCGTCGTGACCTACGTCCACTCCACCGATTATGCTTTTGTTGAGGCCATCGACATCCACTAACGATCTTCTTTTAATGGACAAAGATCAACTACTCTTTTACACCCATCTTCTCCTTTTCATAGGTTTAGGAGACAACTTTTTACAAGCACTCACTCCTCCCTAAACAGAATTCTAAACTTAGAACTAGAGGAGGGGATCTCTTAAGTGATTGCAATAGTGTTTTCCCACTTTTAAGTTCTCTATGCTTGTGTGTTTTAACCAGGGATGAGAGGGATATTTATAGGCCTCAAGTGGATTTAAACCTAGAGCCTATAAAGGTTTCATCCCAGGTTTCCTGGGTCCTAGCGGTACCACCGCCTATACTGGTCGGTACCATCGCCTACAACACTGACACTAAGCAGTATCACCGCTCAGTCTGGCGGTACCTCCGCCTGACACAGTCTCGGAGACTGTGCCACGATGGTTCCACTTGTTGGGTCACTATTTTGACCTTTTTACTTGGCCCAACATAGCCCAAACATAGGTCCAATTGGCCCCTAATTGAGTTGGCTCAATTCTGACCCAATTATGTTCTAACTATAAATTTTAAGGCATACACTAAGCTAAGTCTGACAAGTCTAGGTTTCTTCTAGAGAGCTTCCGGCGAACTTTCGACGATCTTTCAACAATGTTCTAACGGACTCCCGGCAAGCTCCTAGACTTCACGACGATCTTCTTATCGAGTTCCGACGAGCTTCTTTGGCAAGCTCCTGGACTTCTCGGTCAATTCTAACAGAACTTTCGACGAACGTCCGGACTTCCGATGAACTCTAGAACTCCTAACGAAGTCTCATTCTTGACTCTGGGACTTCATTTTGCTTTATTCCTTGATCACTATCATAGTTAATCTTGTAAACTTAAAACCTAAATCGATCTAGACAATTATTACAAAGCTTGAATCAAATATTATCTGCCATATCATTGGTTCATCGACACTTCGTTCGATTCTTCGGCGCATCGTCCTCTCTTGCGGCCTATTGCCCAATCTGCTAATTGACCTCCGCAACTCTAATTTTTTTGGTGTAATTTTCACTCTTCTTGGCCCGATGCCCGAACCCATATCTCGAAGCCTTCTACCGATACGTCGACCGATCCTTCGGCTTGACGTCCAATCTTCTGACATTTTCTCTCCAGCCCAACATGATTCTTCCTACTTTTAATTATCTTTCTTGATCGAAGCTTCCTGTATCACTCAAAATGCAGATCGAATCATAAATACTATCAGTTGGTTTCATCATCAAAATCCGAGATTCAACAAAGGGAAGGATACAATAGTGCAAAATATTTCAATCATTACAAGACATACAAGCCGTAAATACAAATATATGATGTCATGAAAGATATAATATCAAATATCATGAAGGATTAAATCATGAATACTAAAGGATATAATTTATTTTGATAAATATCCCTTTTAGTAAATAACAAAAAGAAACATGGGAGTTCAAAAACAAGATCTTGATTCATAGAAAAATCTCATGTATTAAATATCGAGAAATTAATATCATGATTTGGATAAAAAATAAATCTTAACCCATAAAGTTTTCTTGTACGAAATGCCAAGTCATCATCATTATCACGTTGGGCATGATACTAAATCAATAAATTTTTAAATCAATATTACTTAGGTATGCATGATATCAAAACATGGTTTCAAGTCTTCAATATATAATATGCATAATTTCAAATCATTATATTTCATCCTTGCTTCATGTATGATACCAAAAATAAATCATTAATATGGGCATATCATATATGATACTCAAGCATTCATGATATATCATTTTAGGCACAACATTCATTATGCTAAGACATTAAAATTTTTAAATATTTATTACTTCATGCATTAAATCAACATTTTGATCATGATACCAAATATTAAATCAACATTTTTAAACATTTATCACTTCATGCGTTAAATCAACATTTTGAAATATTTATCACTTCATGCATTAAACAAAGAGGGAGATAAAAATTTGTTAATTTGCATGATGTAAAACTTGCTAAAAGTGTTATCTTGCAAATCTGAAGAGAAGTAATGTTTGCTAGCTTACACATTTCAAGAAGATACAAAACATGATATCTTGCACTTCTCAAAAGAGAAGAAAGAATTCATTAGTTTGCATGTTCTAAAGTGATGAAAAATTTGCTAAATAGTTAGGCTTTCATATCTCTAAAACTTGATAGTTGTACTTCTTCTTTTTGTTGATGACAAAGGGGGAGAAGATATGATGATATGAGAATCATACATGGTAGAATGTAATATATTTTGATATTTTAATATCATGATGATTTGAAATATTTATGATGATGACAGCCTCAGAGATTGAGTTTTTCGAGTTTTCCAACTCACAAGCGGTTCCACCGCTTGTTCTGGCGGTGCCACCACTTGACCCAACTTTTGAATCACTGAATGAGCCTCCCAATGAGCCCAAATCAGTCTCAATTAAGACCCAATTGGCCCCTAATTGAGTTAGCATGATTACACCAAAAGCTAACTCAATTAGCCCCCTAAACTACTTCGATCTTAGGCAAATGATTACAAAGCATGAATCTTTTGTCCAGCATGTCATTGGTTCATCCGGCGCTCGTCCAATCTTTCGACGCATCATCCTCTCCTTAGGCATATTACCCAATCGGCATGTTGACTCCCGTAACTTTCGATCTCCTTAGTGCAATGTCCGATACTTCGGCCCAATGCCCGAATTCACGGCATAAAGCCTTCTGCGACACGTCGATCGATCCTTCGGCTCGACGTCCAATCTTCTAATATGTTCACTCCGGCCCAATGTCCGATTCCTCCTGCTTTAATCAATTTGTCTCTACTTGATCGAAGCTAGTTCTGCGTCACTCAAAACACAGATTAGATCACAAACTTATTAACTAATTTCATCATCAAAATTCGAGATTCAACAGTAATAACATTCCTTATCCTTGTGACACCATCTATATGAATCTCAAAATATTTATAAATCTTTCTTGTGGACTTATTCTCATGGCAATATTTCTTATCCCGGTGACAATAGTTTTTGAAATTTTAAAATGCTCACTAGAAATGAGACAACGCTTGTGCAAGTGTTTGATTTTGCTCTTTCTTATTAAGACCTTTTTTTTTACTTAAAATAAAAATAAAGAGATTTACTCGACGTAGAAGATGAGAACAATAGTTTCAAATCGAGTGCTGCCACGTGTAATAAAAGAGCTATCCCGCAACAACGTTGCAGATGCACCGACCTCATTCAATTCGTGGGGAAGAAGAGGACACGAGAGGAGGAGCAGAGACCGGTCATCCTCAACTTAATCGAGCGTCATCGTGATGGGCCGAATCAAGCGGCGAATCAATCGTTTTCCACGCGGCGGTGCACTTGCGTCCGATGCTCCTCATCTATCATCCGTCCGTCGATCCAAGCACCGAGTACGGATCCCATCCCCTCCCCATCTGCGCAACTTCGTCGACGGAACTGCCCATATTGATGGGTCTCTTCCGCCCGATGGAGTACCTGCCTGAGCTAATTTACAGACAACGGATGTTCTTTCCTCCCTTGGCTCGCTACCCCTCACAACCGCAGAAATCCCATCCCGACCCGAAGTTGTGGTGGTGGTGGCCATGGTGGATGATCAATATGTTATTTTTGTCCGGAACAGATCATCTAGCAAAGACGCCACCTCTCGATCTGTTATTGCCGCAATCCTCCTCTTGTTGTACCCAATCATGATCGGTCGCGCAAAAGGACTACCGGAGTCGTCCTCGCTCGTACAACTTCCCCGCTCGGCAGACCACAAGACAAAGGTCGTCATCTCTGTGACTGAATTCGGAGCCAAAGGCAATGGATTCGACGACGACACCCTGGTATGTATGTTCTTATCTAAAATCTAGAATGATGCGTTTAATCTGAAACTCAACCTAGCTAGCTAGACAATCGATAGATTTCACAGAAATTATTGATCGATTGTTTTCTTTTCCGCCGATTCTCCAGCTATTGTTTTCCTATAGATTAATATATAGGTAGCTTTGGTAGTTCGGAGGAGTGAAAAGGAAAATGCCCAATTCTGTGAGTTCTACTAAAAAGGACTTCCATTCGTTCGTTCATTCGTCGACAGTCAGTAAGGAACCGACGATTGATTCAGGAAGCAGCAATACGCAAGAAATTTACTAATGCCATGATTGGATGGTAAGCCAAGATGATTCCCCACTGCGTGAATGGTGGAAAAAAGAAGGGTAGGCTACACGCGATAACAGGAAAAACCATTACATTGAATCTCGCTAAACACAATACGAAAAACAGAGGAAGTCCTTACATCAATTTGAACATCTTATTCTGACAATGCGCACACTAAGACAATAAATAAGACAAGTTTGATATTTTGTCTTCTTTAAGATGAAAGAGGATATGGGAGCTCCTCTATATGCATTTCAGGTGTTTGATGAAACTAAACTGAATCAGTTCTGCAAAGCTCATATATTCTCATAAAAATGTTCTTCAATAAGTTTTTGGTCTCTTGTCATCTTTACTTGAGATTCCAAATACATTCAAATGGCTTTTATTAATTACACTTTCTGTTGAATATTAGGCCTTCAAGTATGCATGGGACTATGCTTGTTCTTCACCACTGCATGTAGAAATTAAGTTTCCTGCAAGAAGAGTTTATTTGATCAAGCCAATTAACTTAGCCGGCCCTTGTAACTCAAAGATTACAGTGTCGGTAGGTCTCTGGGTTTGGAAAGTGGTACTGCCACAGGGTTTTCTTTTCTTTCTTTTGTTTTTTGTTTTTTTTTTTGTTTTCCTTGTCGAATGACTTGACTAATTTGGTGCCTTCTGTACGTAGATCTCAGGAACTATAATTGCTCCTTCAGATCCTGACATTTGGGATGGGCTTGATCCTCGTAAGTGGATTTACTTCCATGGGATTAAACAAATAGTAGTACGCGGTGGTGGAACCCTTGACGGCAAGGGACAGAACTGGTGGTCACGATCTTGCAAAAGGAACACCACATATGTAACATATACATTCCTTTCTCGCTCATAATATTAGTTTGCTTGGTTGATGCATGCATTTGTTACTTAGACAAGAGAACCTAAATCTATTTCATATTATATATGCAGCCTTGCCGACACGCCCCAACGGTTAGTTCCTCTTCGATTCCATTGGATTTGCGAAGTTGGTAGCATCCCTCGCGCTAATTCGCTTACCTTTTCACTAGAAAAGAGCAATCACATTTATGATGATGCAGGCAATTACTTTTCATCGGAGCAAGCACGTTGCCATCCGTGATTTGACTGTATTGAATGGTCAACAGATGCATATTGCATTCACCTCATGTTCTCATGTTCGTGCATCTAGGTTGAAGGTGACTGCACCTGCTGAGAGCCCTAACACTGATGGAATCCATATAAGTGGATCCATTGCCACCTTGGTTGAGGACAGCACTATAAGGGCAGGTCCGTTCCACTATGTCTATTTGCAGTGTTACCTTCTTCTGCTTTTTTTTTTTTTCCTTTCCTTTTCTGTTCATCTTCGAGTTTCTCGCCTTTCCGATGGTACATCGAAAGACCAAACATTTTCAACAACATATATTCCATTTTTTGTTCTGGGTTAAAATTGATCGGACATATTATTGTTCTGTTATGAATAATTAGCATGATATTCCATCCAGATCTTTGAACGGCGCATCTGTCTTGAGTTGCGTGCATTGGGCTGTCCTATACTGTCTTGAATAGCTTAACTTTCGTGCTCTGATTCATCCATTGTTGAAGTTTTGTGTTGATCCTAAGTTGAGTTTTGCTAATTCACAAGCCATTACCATGCATTAGGTGTAAAGGAGAAAAATCATAAGTCGAATATTGTCAACTGATATAAATAAGTACTGATCGATAAACAAATTATCAACTACTAGGAGTCAGTGTAAACAGAACATTTATCGTGCTCATTGGCGAACTCACGGCCTCAGTGAACCTTTTATCTTAATATTCTTTTCCAATAATGAGGTATGTTATATTTTCAACCAACAATTATTGTCCGTAGTATTATCGTGTTTATTTTCTTTTAAACATCATGTCATTGACCACCCGCTGGCAAACGCAGCACTTATATTTTCATTTCAGGGGATGACTGCATCTCCATCGTCGGCAATTCTTCCAATGTCCGAGTGATAAATATCATCTGTGGACCTGGTCATGGTATTAGGTAAGATCAGAAAAAGTAGCTTGCCATATTTCAGTGTCAAACATTTCATTGTTACTTGATACTTGCCATCAGTATCGGAAGTCTTGGCAAATCAAATTCTTATTCCCAAGTACATGATGTTAAAGTGGAGAATAGCTTGATTTCAAACACCGAAAATGGTGTAAGGATCAAGACATGGCAGGTAGCCCTCCTGGTCCTTCTGACTTGTATGCAAATAAGTATTCAGCATTCAAACATGTATTACGTTACTGAATAGGGTGGTAGTGGTTATGCTCGCAAAATAGTTTTCCGTGGTATCCGGATGAGCAATGTTTCCAACCCAATAATAATCGATCAGTACTACTGCGATTCTTCACGTCAGTGCCAAAATCAGGTATGGGAATCTGAGTTTCAAATTTTTTGCATATTATGATTCAAAGAAACTAGTGATGAAGATTGATGTTCGATGAATGCAGACGTCTGCTGTGAAGGTGCATCAGATTTCTTTCATTGAAATTAAGGGAACATCGACAACAAAGGATGCAATAAAATTTTCTTGCAGCGACAGTTCTCCATGTGAGAAAATATATCTACAGGACATTAACATGTCACTGGAATCCGGCGGCAATGCATCGGCTTATTGTTGGAAAGCATCAGGCTTCAGTTCTGGTTTGGTGAATCCACCTTCTTGTCTGACGAGAGCTGTCGTCGGTCTCATCAATCAGAATGTTGGTTCGAGCAAGAAAGTGGAGGTTGCATAGGGAATGTTTTGATCATTACAGCATTGAAGGGAAAATCTAATTCATCCATATATGTTTCTTTATTAAAAGAAAAACACATTTAATTTGCTGTAAAAGTTCTCAAAGAAAAGAATACACATGGAATGCACCCCAAATAACTTGACCATTCAAGCAAACGAATTCTTCATTCTTTCTCTTTTTCTGGTTATATATATATATATATATATATATCAGAGCAGTTGGTCGGGAGTCATTTCTTGTGTATTCAAATGCTACAGTGACATGTATTTTATCAACTCTAAATATAGGAGGCAGAGAAAGCGGATCTAATTTGGCTGCATCTCGTAATTTGGACAGAATAACGAGGTTTGATTTCGATGGGAAAGTATTAACACCTAACAATGTATCAAGAGCTATGAGCTTTTCATTCTGTATAACGGAGGGATCATACCATTCCTTTTTTTTTTATATAGAAAATGGTAATCATAATGAAAGAACCTTTTTTGTATTTCGTATACTAATAGATTTCACTTTTTATATAGAGAGAAAGAAAAAAAAAAGAGGGTCATAAATGAGGCATTTGCTGTGGAAGAGAAAGGTGTGGCTGGAGAAAGTGAACGAACTAGTTCTCCGACCTCATAGAAATTTCAACGTCAGTATATATCGAGGATCTACATGGTTGACCAACGAATAAAAAAAAAAGATCATGTTTTTTTATTATGATCTCATATAAAGAATTTAAATTATTTACCTTGACTTACATGTTTCATTATGCATTTAAATAATAAATAATTTGATTTGATAGTGATATATCTATTAAAGATTAAAAGTTTAAAATCTCATTTCATATATTTTAAAAATATTAAATAGTCTAATCTCATTTAATTTTTTTAAAAAAAAATCATAAATAATTTAAATCTACTTACGACATTGAGTTTTTGGTTGTCGAGGGTTTTTGAATTTTTGTAAGATCATATTTAATTTTGTGGATTCAACGTACACATCGTTACACGAGGTGTATCCACGTGATCTTGGATTCACACATCCACGCCATTCCCGTGGGATGCCCCTCCCCGTCAAACAGCTACCTCACGTGCAAGTGCAGCCTGTACAAGGCGGCAAGCCCGCGCGGGCATGTGGAGATGAATGGTGGACCGTATGATCTCCAACGCGGTGAATAAAGGGGCCGTGGTTGCGTTGGAGAAACCATAGAAAAAAGATCAAAGAGATGAAACCATATCGTGAGCGGTGTGTTGATGCTGATGGCCAGGGGTCGGTCACCGTACCACACATCTCGAAACATCGACACCACACACTTGTGCTTACTCCCTTCCCCCTCCTTTCCTGTTTTCTGGATCGTATAATTGATCGTCTGTGAGTAGATATTCTTACCTCCCCCACCCCTTGCGCTTCTGAATCCAGAGCCACCTCCTTACACGCTTGCTCGCGCCATGGTGGCGATAGTTGGAGAGAGATTTTGCAGCGAGGAGGAACGGGAGTTGACGGTCCGGAAGACATCCCTCTTCTTTCCTGGAGACGGATTCGCCGTCTACGACCACATAACCGGAGATTTGGTCTTCCGGGTGGACACCTATGCCCGAGGCGGACCCGCTTTCGCCGACCAGCCGCTTCTGCTCATGGATCCATCTGGTGATCCCATCCTTACTCTCCGCCGCAAGGTAGGTGCACGGGTAATCAATCCCCTCGATTAACTCTTCGCCCTCACTCCTCCTCTACTTCTTGTGTGCGATCATATGGGGGTTTCTTCTTGCGAGACGCCTGCAGTGGCCGAGCTTGCATCACCGGTGGGAGGCATTCCTGGGGGAGAGGAGCGAGGGGCAGAAGCCGCTGTTCGCGGTGCGGAGGTCCTCCATTTTCGGCAGCGACCGAAGTGGCTTTGCGGTGGAGGTGCACTCCTGCGGCGGTTCGGAGGAGGGGGAGGACGAGGAAGAGGAGGAGTACCGCATCGAAGGGTCCTTCCCGAAGCGGTGCTGCCGCGTGTTCTACGAGAGTGGTGGAGGGGGGAAAGGAGCGGTGGTGATGGTGGCGGAGATTAAGCGTAAGGTAGACGCATGCTCCCACGTTGTGCTGGGGAGGGATGTGTTCTCTCTGTGCCTTGGACCTCGCTGCGACGCAGCGTTTGCTATGGGTCTCATCATAGTACTCGACCGGATAAGCGGCGACGATGACGACGTAATCGACGATGCAATGGCCAGCCCGTCGCCATGATAAAGCAGCCAAAGCCAGCCGAGCATTAACGAGCTATAATTATTAGAGTGGGCGTAATAAATTCCTGATTGATTTCTCCGAAACTCCGTTGTTAGTGCTATTTTGATTTCTGTCGCAAACATATGTGAAACAAACTTAGACTTTTTTCTCTTTCTCCTCTATACTAGTCGGTTAATATTATCTTTTTTGGTCTGTTATATATATATATATAATTGGTGTAAGAGGTAGTCAAGGCAATCCATAGGCACTAGTAGCCGACCTGACGTGTCGCTTAAGGTAGCCAAGTGATACCAATTATGTCAAATGTAGTTACGGGATGGACAGATGATATTGACCGCATGGGTTGATTAGAAGAGTCTCGCTCGTACAAACCAGTTACGTCAACGTCTGCACTCGTAAATAATACTTAATTATTTCTTGTGTTGAATGGCAACGTGTGCATGCATGGAAGATTTTTTACAGCTGGTTGTATCCCTCCACCCGAGAAATCTTCTCTACAGTATCTTCAAAATGGGTCATAAGCCCGATATGTATTTTAGACTTGAGGGATATTTATAGACTTCAAAAGGATTCAAATTTGAGCTTCAAAAATTTGAATTCTCTTATGTTCTCGATGCTGGCGGTGTCATCGCCCAGCCAAGCGGTGCCATCGCCCAGCACTCGGGTGCTGGGCGGTGCAACCGCCCAGCCCAGGAGGTGTCATCGCCCAGCTCTCGGGTGCTGGGCGGTGCCACCGCCTAGGCCAATTCAGCTCACTGGTTGGGCTCCAAACTTGGCCCAAACCAGTCCGAACTCGGGCCCAATTGGCCCCTACTTGGGTTATAAGATTAACACCTAATCCTAACCCTAATTAACATGCTAATTATGAATTTAAAGATATTTTCTAAGCTATTACAAAGTCCGTAAGTCAAGACTTCTTTCGGCGAACTTCCGACGGTTTTCCGATAAACTCTCGGAAACCATTCTGCGGACTCCCGGCAAGCTCCTAGACTTCACGATTTGATCTTGACGAGTTCCAACGAGCTTCTTCGGCAAGCTCCGATCTTTCTCGGCGAGCTCCGCGAACTTCCAACGAACCTTCCGGCGAGCTTCCGAAAAACCCTTCGGCAAGCTCCCTACTCATTCTCGGCTAGTTCCGGCAGCATTCCCGACGAACCTTCGGACTTCCGTCGAACTCTTGAACTCGTAATGAATCCTTCGTGCTTGACTCCGACACTTTGTTTTGCTTTATGTCTTCGTCGTTATCGTAGTTAATCCTGCACACACAAGCTAAAACTCTACTCCGATCTAGACAATTATTACAACGCGAATTGACATTTTGTTGCCCGGCACGTCATTGGTTGGCGCTTCGTCCGATTCTTCGGTGCATCGTCCTCTCTTGCAGCTTGTTGCTCAATCGACGGTTGACCTCCGCAACCCCGATATCCTTGGCGTAATTTCGCTCTCCTTGGCCCGATGCCCGACGTCCGAAGCCTTCTGTCGTCCAATATCTTGATGTGATCTCCTCCGGCGCAACGTCAATTCCTCCTGCGTTAACTGTCTAAACCTGATCAAGTAGACCTGCATTACTCAAAATGCAGTTAAACATAAACATAATTATCAATTGGTTTCATCATCAAAATACGAGATTCAACAATCTCCCCCTTTTTGATGATGACAACCAATTGATGACGGAGTTAAACTTGACTCCCGGAGTTTAAACAAACTCCCCCTATCAATATGCCATATTGATAGAACCTTGAATTCAAACTGAATTCAAGTCATTGCAATATTCATCATGAATACTTGCAACACGTCATTATGAACTCATGCAAAGACTTATGCATATCATATCATCAACATACTTCTCCCCCTTTATCATCAACAAAAAGGAGAAGTACAACTATTCTTTGTGTTTGTAATATAAGTTCAACTCATTGCATGAAAAACATAATATTAAGTTTTATCATCATGCAGTTTTGAAGCTAGAAAATTTAGCAAGTAATGCATCATGCTTAGGACATTCAAGCTATCAAGTTTTAGATATACAAGTTTTACAACATACACGATAGCACTTTTGGTAATGTTCAAGATAGTAAGTTCTACATCATGCAAGCTAGCAATATTGAGATGTTCAAGAAAGCAACTCTTGCTTCTTGAAATATGCAAATTTGTCAAGTTTTGCTAGATGTTCAAGTTAGCATTTTTGCCTCTTAAGATAGGAAAGATAGCACATTTGCTTCTTTTGAGATAGCAACTTTTTGCTTCTCTTTAGACTACAAGCTAGCAATTTTTACGATATGTAAGTTTCACAATATACAAGCTAGCAAAAATTTCGAAAGCAAATGCAAGATAGCTTTCTTGTGTAAGCTCATAATTCTTGCTTCCTATTGCAATATGCAATTTGCAAGTTTTGCTTCTTGAGATAGGCAAGATAGCACTTTTGCAATTTTTGTTTCTTAAAATAGGCAAGCTTGTGATGTTCAAAATAATAAGCTCTTTCTTCTAGAAGTGCCATTTTTGCTTTCTTTGCAAAGTGTAAGCTAGCAAAAT